ACAAGGCGGCCCACACTCTCTCAGTGAGAACGGGACCAGTAACAACAACAAAAAAAGACGGCAAACGAAAATAAACAGCTGAGCATATTGAAGCGCATACTCCTCTAAGGAGCTTTGTTATGTGGTTTTCTTAATATTTGCGGCAAGCCAGTCCAGGCCCTCGTACAGGCCCTGGGCCGAGGTGGCGCAACATCCCTGAATATACCAGTTGCGCTGCCGCACCGACTGCAGTCCGAGCTTTTCCGTCACCTCTGTCGTGCTCATGGCGTTGGGCAAGTCCTGCTTGTTTGCAAATACGAGGAGAATGGAGTTGCGCAGCTCGTCCTCTGTAAGCATCTTCTCCAGCTCCTGTCGCGCCTTGCCAATGCGTTCCCTATCGTTGGAGTCCACGACGAAGATGAGGCCGTTGGTGTTTTGGTAGTAGTGGCGCCACAGCGGGCGCAGGACGTCCTGGCCGCCGACGTCCCACATGGTGAACTTGAGGTTCTTGTACTCCACCGTCTCCACGTTGAACCCAATCGTGGGAATTGTCGTGACGATCTCGCCAAGCTTGAGCTTGTACAGAATTGTCGTCTTCCCGGCAGCGTCAAGGCCCACCATCAAGATTCGCACCTCCTGCTTGCCCAGGAGCGACTTGAACGCGGACGCTAGCCACTGGCCCATTGCTTTTTCTTTTTTTTTTCCTCTCTCTCTCCCGTATTCCTACCGCTGTTGCCTGGGGGACCTCAAACACAGGGGAGCAGCCGAAGGATCGAGGCAGGGGAAGGGGTCGTCGCCACAAGGCCGGCCCCACAACTCTCTCAGTGAGAACGGGACCAGTAACAACAACAAAAAAAGACGGCAAACGAAAATAAACAGCTGAGCATATTGAAGCGCATACTCCTCTAAGGAGCTTTGTTATGTGGTTTTCTTAATATTTGCGGCAAGCCAGTCCAGGCCCTCGTACAGGCCCTGGGCCGAGGTGGCGCAACACCCCTGAATATACCAGTTGCGCTGCCGCACCGACTGCAGTCCGAGCTTTTCCGTCACCTCTGTCGTGCTCATGGCGTTGGGCAAGTCCTGCTTGTTTGCAAATACGAGGAGAATGGAGTTGCGCAGCTCGTCCTCTGTAAGCATCTTCTCCAGCTCCTGTCGCGCCTTGCCAATGCGTTCCCTATCGTTGGAGTCCACGACGAAGATGAGGCCGTTGGTGTTTTTGGTAGTGTGGCGCCACNGCGGGGCGCAGGCGTCCTGGGCCGCCG